ATGGGTCGTACAGCGGGATGGGATGGGATGGGCTGCGATCGAGGGGATGGTGGTGCATGGTCGACGGTGTCCGAGTACCGGCTCGGCCGCCGGTCCGTCGCCGGGAAAATTTCCGGCCAGTTTTCCGGCGACCCGATTTTTTTTTTTCTCGGAGGGAATCGTCCGTGGCTCGATTGTTTTCGCGCTTGTGCGGCTTTGGCTCGGTTTTGTCCGTCTCTAACAGTTCTTTCCCTTCGGGAAACTGAATAGTTCTACGATTGACATTATCGGGTTTACTGACGTTTTGATGTTCCTCCCTTGGATTGAGACCGTTTCACTCATGTTTGTCCTCATAGTCATGTGTAGAACCTATTAATCCATGTTTGGGTAAGTATGGGTCCATCTAGTTCATCTTATACACTACAAGTGAGTTTCCACAATGTGGAGTCACAGAGGTACATTTCGGACTCCTTACCTCTTCCGGTTCCCAAATTAGGTCCATTTGATGTTCCTCCCTTGGATTGAGACCGTTTCACTCATGTTTGTCCTCATAGTCATGTGTAGAACCTATTAATCCATGTTTGGGTAAGTATGGGTCCATCTAGTTCATCTTATACACTACAAGTGAGTTTCCACAATGTGGAGTCACAGAGGTACATTTCGGACTCCTTACCTCTTCCGGTTCCCAAATTAGGTCCATTTGATGTTCCTCCCTTGGATTGAGACCGTTTCACTCATGTTTGTCCTCATAGTCATGTGTATAGTTTGGATATGGGTCCATCTAGTTCATCTTATACACTACAAGTGAGTTTCCACAATGTGGAGTCACAGAGGTACATTTCGGACTCCTTACCTCTTCCGGTTCCCAAATTAGGTCCATTTGATGTTCCTCCCTTGGATTGAGACCGTTTCACTCATGTTTGTCCTCATAGTCATGTGTAGAACCTATTAATCCATGTTTGGGTAAGTATGGGTCCATCTAGTTCATCTTATACACTACAAGTGAGTTTCCACAATGTGGAGTCACAGAGGTACATTTCGGACTCCTTACCTCTTCCGGTTCCCAAATTAGGTCCATTTGATGTTCCTCCCTTGGATTGAGACCGTTTCACTCATGTTTGTCCTCATAGTCATGTGTAGAACCTATTAATCCATGTTTGGGTAAGTATGGGTCCATCTAGTTCATCTTATACACTACAAGTGAGTTTCCACAATGTGGAGTCACAGAGGTACATTTCGGACTCCTTACCTCTTCCGGTTCCCAAATTAGGTCCATTTGATGTTCCTCCCTTGGATTGAGACCGTTTCACTCATGTTTGTCCTCATAGTCATGTGTAGAACCTATTAATCCATGTTTGGATAGTATGGGTCCATCTAGTTCATCTTATACACTACAAGTGAGTTTCCACAATGTGGAGTCACAGAGGTACATTTCGGACTCCTTACCTCTTCCGGTTCCCAAATTAGGTCCATTTGATGTTCCTCCCTTGGATTGAGACCGTTTCACTCATGTTTGTCCTCATAGTCATGTGTAGAACCTATTAATCCATGTTTGGGTAAGTATGGGTCCATCTAGTTCATCTTATACACTACAAGTGAGTTTCCACAATGTGGAGTCACAGAGGTACATTTCGGACTCCTTACCTCTTCCGGTTCCCAAATTAGGTCCATTTGATGTTCCTCCCTTGGATTGAGACCGTTTCACTCATGTTTGTCCTCATAGTCATGTGTAGAACCTATTAATCCATGTTTGGGTAAGTATGGGTCCATCTAGTTCATCTTATACACTACAAGTGAGTTTCCACAATGTGGAGTCACAGAGGTACATTTCGGACTCCTTACCTCTTCCGGTTCCCAAATTAGGTCCATTTGATGTTCCTCCCTTGGATTGAGACCGTTTCACTCATGTTTGTCCTCATAGTCATGTGTAGAACCTATTAATCCATGTTTGGAAGTATGGGTCCATCTAGTTCATCTTATACACTACAAGTGAGTTTCCACAATGTGGAGTCACAGAGGTACATTTCGGACTCCTTACCTCTTCCGGTTCCCAAATTAGGTCCATTTGATGTTCCTCCCTTGGATTGAGACCGTTTCACTCATGTTTGTCCTCATAGTCATGTGTAGAACCTATTAATCCATGTTTGGGTAAGTATGGGTCCATCTAGTTCATCTTATACACTACAAGTGAGTTTCCACAATGTGGAGTCACAGAGGTACATTTCGGACTCCTTACCTCTTCCGGTTCCCAAATTAGGTCCATTTGATGTTCCTCCCTTGGATTGAGACCGTTTCACTCATGTTTGTCCTCATAGTCATGTGTAGAACCTATTAATCCATGTTTGGGTAAGTATGGGTCCATCTAGTTCATCTTATACACTACAAGTGAGTTTCCACAATGTGGAGTCACAGAGGTACATTTCGGACTCCTTACCTCTTCCGGTTCCCAAATTAGGTCCATTTGATGTTCCTCCCTTGGATTGAGACCGTTTCACTCATGTTTGTCCTCATAGTCATGTGTAGAACCTATTAATCCATGTTTGGGTAAGTATGGGTCCATCTAGTTCATCTTATACACTACAAGTGAGTTTCCACAATGTGGAGTCACAGAGGTACATTTCGGACTCCTTACCTCTTCCGGTTCCCAAATTAGGTCCATTTGATGTTCCTCCCTTGGATTGAGACCGTTTCACTCATGTTTGTCCTCATAGTCATGTGTAGAACCTATTAATCCATGTTTGGGTAAGTATGGGTCCATCTAGTTCATCTTATACACTACAAGTGAGTTTCCACAATGTGGAGTCACAGAGGTACATTTCGGACTCCTTACCTCTTCCGGTTCCCAAATTAGGTCCATTTGATGTTCCTCCCTTGGATTGAGACCGTTTCACTCATGTTTGTCCTCATAGTCATGTGTAGAACCTATTAATCCATGTTTGGATAAGTATGGGTCCATCTAGTTATCTTATAACTACAAGTGAGTTTCCACAATGTGGAGTCACAGAGGTACATTTCGGACTACAATGTGGAGTCACAGAGGTACATTTCGGACTCCTTACCTCTTCCGGTTCCCAAATTAGGTCCATTTGATGTTCCTCCCTTGGATTGAGACCGTTTCACTCATGTTTGTCCTCATAGTCATGTGTAGAACCTATTAATCCATGTTTGGGTAAGTATGGGTCCATCTAGTTCATCTTATACACTACAAGTGAGTTTCCACAATGTGGAGTCACAGAGGTACATTTCGGACTCCTTACCTCTTCCGGTTCCCAAATTAGGTCCATTTGATGTTCCTCCCTTGGATTGAGACCGTTTCACTCATGTTTGTCCTCATAGTCATGTGTAGAACCTATTAATCCATGTTTGGATAAGTATGGGTCCATCTAGTTCATCTTATACACTACAAGTGAGTTTCCACAATGTGGAGTCACAGAGGTACATTTCGGACTCCTTACCTCTTCCGGTTCCCAAATTAGGTCCATTTGATGTTCCTCCCTTGGATTGAGACCGTTTCACTCATGTTTGTCCTCATAGTCATGTGTAGAACCTATTAATCCATGTTTGGATAAGTATGGGCTCTCTTTCTTTCATCCTTCCATTTATCCACATACTTTTTGATTACCTTTCATAACTTAATAATCATAATAATCATATTTCTTTATTCTTTTTTTTCAGTTGCTACAATAATATGATCAGCCTATCATATCTTGACTTTTTTTTTTGGATCCAGATAATGTGAAGCAATGAGTTGCTTAGGTTATTTATTAATGCTATAGTTATTAGTTGCTCTTATAGGTAAGTTCTTTTTTTTTTATCTTAATCTAATCGAATCCTAAACCAACGAGTCACACACTAAGCATAGCAATTATATCAAAGGAGTTTTGATGGAAATTTTTATTCAACCTTATAGAATTGCTGATTTTTTTCTTAAACATCAAAAATAAGACTGCAATTTCTTTTATTACTGTATAGTGTTATACTACATAGTTTTCGTTTTTTATCGTTGGATAAAATGTAAAGACAAAAAAAAATTATTCTTCGTCTACGAATATCCAAATTTTTATTCCTAAGACCCCGTAAATAGTTCGAACTGTATAGGAACAATAATCAATTTTAGCTTCTATTGTTTGTAAAGGAACTCTGCCTTCTCGGATCCATTCAACACGTGCAATTTCTTTTCCGTCGATACGTCCTGCAATTTGTACTTGAATTCCTTTTGTATTTGCCTGTTCAGTTAATTCAATAGCTTTTTTCATTGCTTTTCGAAAAGAAACGCGATTTTTTAATTGGCCAGCTATAAATTCTGCAAGAATATTAGGATGCCCATACGGGTTGGAAATTCTGGTAATAGCAATGTTGAGTTTTCTATTGACACAATTAAGTTCTTTTTGAACATTCAGCTGCAATTCTTCGACTCTTCGGGGTTTATCTTCAATTAATAATTTAGGAAATCCCATATAGATTATGATCTGAATGAGATCGATTCTTTTTTGAATTTCGATACGTGCAATTCCCTCCATACCAGAGGATATTCTTATATTTTTTTGGACATAATTTTTAATACAGTCTCGTATTTTTTTATCTTCTTCTAAACCTTCAGAATATTTTTTTGGTTGTGCAAACCAAAGAGAATGATGACTTTGGGTTGTACCAAGTCTGAAACCAAGTGGATTTATTTTTTGTCCCATAGGCCTCCACTACTATATGTATCATAACATGTTAGATTTCTTTTTTCATTGCTGTATCCAGGTTTTTTTAAATACATTAAATATTCTTCATATTGTTGATAGAAGGATATATCTTCCAATACGATAGTTATATGACAAGTGGATCTTTTTATTGGGTAACTCCGCCCTCGTGCCCGAGGTTTTAACTTTTTCACGGTATTTCCTTGGTTCACTTCAGCTTTACTAACGACTAAATTGGTTTCTTTGAAACCCTTATTGTGACTAGCATTTGCTGCTGCAGAATAAACCAATTTAAAAATAGGATAACATCCTCGATAAGGCATAAGTTCTAATATCATAAGTGCTTCTTCGTAGGAACGTCCACGGATTTGATCAATTACTCTCCGTGCTTTGTGGGCAGACATAGATATATATTGCCCTAAAGCATATACGGAAGTATCTGATTTCTTCTTTTTCTTCTTTATCATAAGGTTTACCTCTCACTAAAAAATATATATATTCAGTTTTTTTGATTCATTTAATTAACGACGAGATCTATTATCATTTTTCGCATGTCCTCGAAAATTTATAGTAGGTGAAAATTCTCCTAATTTATGTCCTACCATAAGATCTATTATATAAACGGGTAAGTGTTCCCTTCCATTATGGATAGCGATGGTATGGCCAATCATTGTGGGTATAATGGTGGATGCCCGGGACCAAGTTATTATGATTTCTTTTTCCGCCTTTGTATTAAGCTTCTCTATTTTTCTTAATAAATGCTTTGCTACAAAAGGGTTTTTTTTTAGTGAACGTGTCACAGTTAATTAACTCCTATTTTTTTTTAAGACGAAGAAAGAAATTCTATTTTCTCTCCTATTTACTACGGCGACGAAGAATAAAAGTCTCACTATATTTTTTCCTTTTTCTAGTTCTTCTTCCAAGTGCAGGATAACCCCAGGGGGTTACGGGTCTTTTTCTACCAATTGGAGCCCTCCCTTCACCACCTCCATGCGCTGATTCTGAAAGGCGATTTTCTCCATTTAAGGTGTGCTACTCATATCATTAACTTGATTGTGAAACAAGGTCTGATGGAGATAGTTGAAAGTGTTAATGCTATCCGTAACGGCATTTACTTTGTGAGATCTTCCACACCTAGGATCAAGGCATTTGAGAATCATGTGGAATCAAGAAGGATTCAAAGAGGAAGCTTGCCTCTAGATGTGAAGACTAGATGGAATTCGACTTACATGATGTTAGACCAAGCTTTGAAGTTCAGATTGGCATTTGACAAGATGCATGAGCTTGATTTTCCATACATCAAATACTTCACGGATATAGTGGAGGGAAAGAAAAGGGTTGGACCACCAACGAAAGATGATTTTGATGCGGCTCACAGGTTAGTCCAATTCCTCATTATCTTCTACAAAGCCACAATTTGTTCTCTCTGCGTCAAACAGTGTTTGCTCCCACAAGTTGTATCATGCGATTGTGACTATGTCTTCAAACATCTCTTGCTGAGTACTAATCCTGGTCCGGATGAAGTTTTACGTGAGAAAGCCTTTGCAATGTTGATGAAACTAGGCAAGTATTGGGATCCATTTGATAAAAGGGTAGAGATGAACAAGCTGGTATTTGTAGCAGCCGTGTTTGACCCAAGCAAGAAGATGATCTTTGTTGAGAAAAGTTTTGACAAGCTTTACAGTAAAAGTCCGAGGAGTGAAGCTCTGAAAGATGAAGTGAGAGATATTTTGAAGAATCTGTTTGAGGAGTATAGCAGAGAACTAAACAAGAATGGAAGTGGTGAATCAGGTTCAATGGCGCAGTCAAATGAAGCATCTACTAGTTCAAATGAAGCTACTAGTTCTGCTCTGTCTAGAGAAGAAGCTTCTCAGAAAACGGTTCTTGGAAATGGTCTAGAGTATGAAAGCATGAATGACATCTACAAGGAGCTTCTTGAGGATGGAGGTTTTCAAGAGAAGCTGAATGAGTTGGATTTGTACTTGAAAGAAAAGCTTGAGAATCCAATTTCTTTTGATGGGACAGATTACGATGTGCTTTCTTGGTGGAAGGTGAACACTCCAAAGTTTCCGGTTCTCTTGTGATAGCTAGAGATATACTTGCAATGCAAGTGTCTTCAGTTGCTTCAGAATCAGCCTTTAGTACTTCAGGAAGAGTTTTAGAACCGAGTAGGAGCTGCTTGACTCATTACACAATTGAAGTTTTGATGTGTCTTGAGCAATGGATGAAGTGTGAGTTTAGAATGAATGACAAAGTGGTCAAGAAGGAACAGCTGTTAGCAGAGCTAGAGGTTCAAGATAATCTCATGCGAGGTAAATTACTAAATTATATTCATGATTTCATATAGCAATTGCATTTCAGATTTACTAGTTACTACTTACTAACTTCATGAATCCGTTTATTTGTTTCTCTTTAGAGTTTGAACCAGCATTCACCTTTAAAGCACCTTGAGTTATTGGTAAGTACTTACTATTTAAAACTGAATACAAATTCTTTTATCTCTTTCAGTCTTTAACTTAGTATTATGTAATGTAGTTTGATAACAAGAGACTCGGTGAGGAGGGAATAAGAGACTCGGTGAGGAGGGAATGAAGTTTAATGGTCCGATTGTCTTGAAGAATAGAAGAGTTGGTGTCTTCTATAGTTCTATTACAAGACTTTGTGTTTTTCTCTTTTGTGTTAAACTTTGAATCTTTGATACTTTGTGTTTGTGGCTTTGTGTCTTGAAACCTTGAATGGTTTGATGTGTTTTTGTCAGTTTGGTACTTTGGTCTATCGTGTTTCAACCTTGAATGGTTTGAATGGTTTGAAATCTTGAATGGTTTGATATGTTTAGGACATATTTGTGCTCAATTTTCGGTTCTTTTTTTGGATTAAATCAGGGGAAATCGGGTATACACGGGTATAAACGGGTAAGAACGGGTAAAAAACCCGGTTTATACCCGAACCCGACAAGTAACCACAGTTTTTCGGATATTTGACAGTTATTTTTATGCTAGAACCGTTAGACCCGGAACCGAAGGGAACCGACCCGGAACCGAACCGAAATAGTAGCGGGTCCTATTTGGATAAATATTTCAAATAACTGTAAGACCCGGAACCGAAAAACCCGACCCGGAACCGAAAAACCCGACCCGGAACCGAAACTGGTACCCATTATGCCAATGCCTAGTTTGAAGTTTGGAGAAATCGGCGACGCGTATTCATGAAAGAAGATTAAGATTTGTTTTTGTAAGCGATTTAACATTTCCTTTATTTCAAATCATTTAAATTAGTATTTGATTATGAGGAAAAAGGTAAATGCTTTTCATAATTCTGTTGAATGGACCATTTTCTTCATTTACAAAATCACTACATTTTATTTGATTCTCATATTTCTTTGTTTTGATTTTCCCGTAACTTGAAATTCAATGTCTATAAAACATTTTCTACAAAATTGAGTAATCTTTATCGTTATTTCTTTCTATCTCTTAAAAAAAAACTAAATCTAAAATATTATTGGGTCTGACCCGTGATGTTGAATTATGTTGTTTAAAAACTTAGATCATGACTGCGCAGGTTTTTTTTTTTTTTTAAATTAATATGATAATTTATCGTTAATGATATTGATAATTTGTTGATTTTTATCAGATTAAACTTTGGCTAAAAAAATATACTTTTATTCAACCTTATTGGATGTGTGTCTTTAATCATTTTCAGACACTTGTTTTTTCTGTTCACATTTAATTTTGGTAAGACATAATTATTTTTTCTAGGAAAGAATTTTTGTGCGACATTCTCTGTCTTCGTCGATTCTTACCTAGATCACTCTCTTTTGATCATCCATTTTTTCAATTTTGTGTTTCTGCAGCCGAGAAGCTAGAACAATCAAGCTCCACCTGTTTTGTATAACCCAGGTAATCCCTTGACAAAACTCGTCCATGATTTCTTCGTTCAAGCCAAAAGAAAAGGACATTTGACTTCTTCTTCTGTTCTGCGTAATTAGAAAATCTTGATATTATTTCTGGATATATCAGACCCGAGAAATTAATCTCCACTGCTTCATAAAACACAGGTTTACGACTTTACCTCACCTAGTTTCTTCATCGAAGCAATTTCTCTGTTTCTTCTTAATCTGCGAACTTTAAGCTTTGCTTCCAATTTATGCAGCTTCTCATGGGATTCGAAACTGAACTCCACTGATGATGGTGCTCATATCTGCAATTCGCGATCGCTGCCGATTTAGCTCCACGCACACAACAAATTTCAGCTCCTTATTGCCAATCAGAATTGATTCATTTCGAAAGCTGGATCGTCGACGATCTAGGTAAACACTCATCTTCTTCACGCCTTAATCGCTTTTGATTTACAGAATCCAGTCAAGTCATAGTTTTTTATTTCATGATTTCTTCCCCGCAGCTTCTCCAATGAATCATCGGGACTTTCCGATGCCTTGATGATCTCAGGATAACCTTTTCTGACAACTATCATCTCCTCCTTGCTCGTATGATTTTTGGTGATAGTGAATTTCCGATGCCAAAAACTGAATCTTACATCGCCAAACGCAATACCGATGTTGTCAGGTACAGACCAGTCCATTAAAAACTCTATGTATAGACCCGTTGCATGGTTAATAACAATGAATTGAATGAATCTCCATTCTTCTTGAGGCATTTGAGGTTCAATTCTGTCTTCTCCAGCATCTCGAAACCTCAAGTAAAAAAAATCAACTATCTAAAAAATAATCAATTTGTTTTCTGCAATTAATTTGTTCCCCTATGAACTTTCTCTTCAGCTTTCCTGCTCTTCTCGAAATTCCTAATTCCATTGTTCTTGTTGCTTGTGCATTTGCATTCTCCTGAACAATTCCCTCTTTTTTTTTTTGCTAAAATCTTATAAGTTATCACTTTCTTGTTTCCTTTGATAGCTCATATAGTGTACTTTCTATCTCGTCTTTGATAGCTGTTCATGGGTGCATTGTTTGGTTTCTTGAGTTCCTCGCATGATATTCACATGATAGCTTTTCATATTTTTTTCTGGATGAGTTACTCTCTTTTCGTCACCGATAACAATGTTTCAAACTTGGGTCCGAACTAAGCAATTCTTCACTCTTTTCAGTGAAGGAGACTTGTAGAGAGGAAAAGTTCAACGTTTTACCTTTGATGGAGCTAAGAAGCTTATCATTGTTTTCTAAACGGGTTAATAATCCATGCTTGATTAAGAAAACTAATTAAGGTTAGTACAATAACCACTTTTCATATAATGAATTGTATGTTTTTCTGATTTTAAATTGATTGCATAGCAAAACTGTTTCTAAAATATGGTTGTACAATATGTTAGAATTCTGAACTATCATGTCTGAGTTTCGATAAAACAAAACTGGACAACCTTGAGGTTAAGACAAAAGACTAACAGGATTTCTTCCTTTTCATATTCTCCGCTTAAATGCCTTTGTCTCCACTTAATTTGCAGAAGAATTTGGTTGTTTTTGTCGACAATCGTGATACTAATCTATATGTTCTTATGTATTTGGTAGGTTCCCAAAAGTTAAAAGCAGTTGGATTTATAACCGGCATCACCTTCAAACCATTAAATGTTCGTCAAACCAGCTGTAAGGAGTACACATCCAAAGGTCGTTGGTGAAAAGTTGCTTGCTTCAGGCTATTGGTATGATCTTTAAAATCTATTTTGGAATAAATAAAAAATAATGAAGAAACAAAAGTTAATAATACCAAGCTGAAGCTTTTTTTTTTCATACAAAATGTTCTTTCCTCCTCGTGGTGCGGATTTGTTTCCTCAAATACTTTTCTGAACTCTTTCTTTTAATTCGCCTTTGTCTTGTTCGTGTATTTAGGCATGGACCAGATTTGACCCGTCACAATCTCTTCCTCTTTCTGCATTATGTATAAAGTCGGATTCTCCATATAGAATTGTCATCCTTCATGTACGTGAATAAAGTAGGTTTAGCCTTTTTGTTTTTGGTTTAGCTTGCTGGGAATCTGAAATTATAGTTCTGAGAATATAGGTTCTTTAGAGATATAGTGAGTCTTCTATTTATAAAGCAAAGTAGAACGCAGGATCCTGACCATAAACAACCTTGAAATTAAGAAAACTTGCAGAAAGCTTTTAAAGCAAGGCTGGTTCAAATTAGTCAAGCACGTTAAAATATAAAGAAAATAATAGCAGCAAAGCAAAATCATGTTATACAGTTTAACAAAAAATATACTTGTACAAACGCTGGACTCAATGAAACATAGTCTGAAAACTTGTTTGTAGCAGATAGATGTGTTCTCTCTCTTTTTGGAATTGCATGAAAACATAAAATAGAAAGTCAAAAAAGTAATTAAATTTCTCTTCGAAGAAATTATATATGAGGTCGAAGCTTCTATTGAGAAATGATATGAAAAGAAACGCACAATGGTAAAAGAAACCCTTTAAAGGCTAAAATCTATGTGCTATATATTTAAATACATCAAAATAATTAAATAGAGCATGTTTTTGTATTTTAGTATTTAAATATATATTTGATTGTATGTATTTTAAGATTACGATCTTACATTTTCATTGGCTAGAATCATCTCCAATGTTTGTTTATATGCTTGCTTGCATAAGCTTGTGTTTTCATAACCTGCAAGACAGAATGAGAAGCAGATTTTAGACTTGAAAGCGTGTATAAAGCTTACCGTATGAAGGTTAACTTACATTTTAGTATGCTGTGTTTTTTTTTCATCAAATAAACACAGCTTGATGCAACGCAAAGAGGCTCATTGAATCAATAACTCGAATCTGGAGGTCCAAAGCCTGGTACTTCTCTTTTTTCAGACGAATAAGGTATGGTGATATTCATAAGCCTGTGTGTTCATATCCTGCAAGACAGATTGAGATTAAGATTTCAGAATCGAAAAGGTGTACAAAATCTCTAATAGTCTATAATATCACGGACGTGTATTGCTTCCAAAAGAAGCTTAATTTGGATTCACCAACCTATTTTGAAAGGCTTGCCATCGTAAAGACATGTGAAGCAATAAGGAGAAACTATCTATTAATAGGTTATAGATTGGGACTAACCTTTGATCGTATCATAGTTGCTTGGTCATTCAAGAGAGAGCTTTTGGTTCCTTTATTCCCCTACATCCAAAACAAAATGCGATTAGTAAACATGAAAATAGAAACACGGAAACATCTATGCAATTTCGAGGTATGTACTAAACACCATGTGAATGATGTATTTATAGTTGTTTAAGATGAGTCATTAGGTTTTCAATCAATATGGTTTCAAAATTTATCACAGTATATTTTTGGTAGATATTTACGCAAGAATTTTTAGTTTTTTTTGTTTTTGGTAACTTTTCAAATTCAATATCAATGTATTATGAATGTCGTCACTTTTGTGTGCTTAGTACATTAGGTATTAAGTATATTCGTTTTAATTCATTAGCGAAATTTGTGGAAAACTTTATAGATTTTGCGTGGAAAGAAATCTGAGTTGTTATTGCTGTTTATATTATTTCTGTTTTTGTATTTGATTGGCACAGTTAATAATATTTATGGAAAATGCAGATTTTCGGAGCTGGAGTATTATTATGCTAAATCAGGATCCTTTGAATTCGAAATTTGAAAACTGTAATGGATTTGTATGGGCTTAATTTCATTCTAAAGCTTTTCCTGCATTTCTTTATATCTTCGTATGATCCGATAAAAGATCCGCTGGACTTGCGTGTTTTTTTTTTAACACAAACTGTGTCATCAATTATATTTTGGCTCACCAATTTTGTAATGGTTATATGGTTTAGTTGAATTTTGTCCAGTTCAATTTGTCCGGTTGAATTTAAGTAAACTTTTGGATCCGCGTGTTTTATCAATGGATCCGGGTGAGGTCGACGCGTGTAAAACTGAGTCGACTCAGTGAAACCCTAAATTTTTTTTTCCAAAAAACTCTCTTATTATACTTGTTTCCAAACACCTTTTCTTTATTATCTGTTTGGTTTTTTGGTAAATTACTTATTTTAGCTCCGAAAATTTTCTGACTGGAATACCCTTTGTGACTCAGTTTTAATAGTATTGATTAGATAAATCGTGCTATTATGATGTGCTATCAATGCTCCTTTTTTGTGTAGTGTTTGACTATTAGTCAACACAAACAAAGTGAACAAATTTACCTACGATTTGATATACATTAACGACGATGCAAGACATTACGTACGTAACTAAAGCCTCGGGGTTTTATTCTACCATGCCTAAATAAAAAGATCTATATACTTAAAACCAGAATCAAAACGGATTAGAATATTATTTAACTGACCTGCAAAATCACATATCACATTCAAGTTTTTAAATTAAGTAGTTTAAGTGTTTAACTAACCATGGTTGAATAACAAACAACTCCAACCCGTACGTACTTATTTACATTTTTTTTCTTCGATAAAGAACCTATTTACAGTTTATGTTTGACTATACAATTACACATGGAGAAGGCCATACAGGGTATGCTGCGGAACTCTAAAACATAGCAATTAACCAATAATAATATAAACTGATTTTTTGTTTTATTTATAGTAGCATCCAATAAATAATATTTTTACAATGGCGGAAAAACCTTTGTTAGGCTCCGACACATTATTAACTAGCTGAATAAAATTGCACGGTTTATTCTCAGACAAACAATAACACAAATTATTGTTATTTTTTCTAAATTCGGTTTCAATTAGTCAATAGTTAACATGGAAACAACCCCCATTAAATTTGTAAAATTATCTGTCAAGATTTTCTGTTATAAACTCAGAATTTCCAAACCTAAAAATCTTAAGGGAATATCTGGCAAACTCCGGTGATTTTTAGCAGTTTCCAACACATTTTGGGGATTATACCAATTCAAAATTCGAGCTCCGAAATTTGATGAAAATTGCTAAAATTTATTGGACTTCACCGGAAATTCCCTTAAAGCTTTTAGATTTGCAAAATCTAAGTTTAGAACAAAAGTTTCCGACGGATAATGTTACAAATATAACGAATCCGTTTCCATGTTAACAGTTGATGATGTGTGGTGGGTTTACTTCAAGATTTTATAATTTATAACCCAACCAAACTAAGCTGCAAGTGCACAGCCGTGTTGTGGTCGGGGTCAAACACAAGGAGAATGTCTTCTCACTTAACACCTTTGGAGATTGATAACGAGCTAGAACAAGAATATAGGATTATTGTGGATATTGAGAACCTAAAAATAAGAAAGAAAACAAAGTAAGATTAGATGAAGTTGTAAAACAAATGAAACGAAAAGTTAGGCAAAGGATAATCATATGGAGCATGTAATGAAAAGATAGTTGCATTGGGATGTAATTAAAAGTCGTCTTGAACATGAATCACTAAGGTATAGTCTTTCCACTTCTGTGGCTCCAACCACAATGTTTAAATCAACCTAATATACTCAGCTTTCGTTAGGTATTAGAATTGAAAATATGCAATAAAGGTGTTCAGGATTCAATTGTTCACAATGGTTTTTTTTTTTTTTTTTTGATCAACGATTGACTTTCATTAAACTAGCGGTCCAGAGATTCCAGAGCAACCAAGGAATTAGAGGAGTGTCAGCGATACCTGTAGGTGGAAGATTCCTGTAGTGCCGTGACAGCTCCAAGATCTGCTTCGTGTCTCGGCCCGAGACTGGAGTGTTTGTCCGG